TCAAGCCGTACCGGGATCCGGCGCAAGTGAACGCGGAAGCGTTGGCGCCGGAGCAGATTCCACGGGACCGCGGCCACCCAGAAGTTGAACCAGCAACTGGTTCGGAGCACGGAGTGCAACAACCTTCATTTTCACTGGGGCCAAGCACTCCAGCGTTGCCTGCAGCGATGCACTCGTCTGCTTTAAGGCTAGGAGTCGCTCCGACAGAGAGCGATAATTATCAAGGCGAGGCAACCAGCGCACGAAGTGCTTTAAATCTTCAAGAGCGTCCGCACAGCGATATGCTACTTCAGCATGACGCTCAGCGGAGCTCTGATTACGAAGGACCTTGTCCTCAAGAGCTCGAAGAGCATCACGAGTCACTGGGCGGTGGTCAACCCGGTCGTCACCGCCCGCCATCGAATTTTCTCGATGGAAACGGTGACGTCCAGTGTCACGTAAAACGTCTAGTACGACAATGTCGTCGCCAGGGTCAGACCCAATATCTTGTGAAAGGCGGGGATATCCCGACTCAGAAAACTCGTGGGAGTTTGAGGCGCAACTTCGGCAAGATTGCCCAGTCACCGTGGGCTCTTTTGATCGGAAAGATCAGGACGTCCCGCGTCATCAGACGCCCCGCGCTTCCTGGTAATGGTCAGGGGGATATACGGGCCATGAGCTGAGCTCAAGCAGTGGCCCTGAGCTCTCGCGGTCGTAGACACAGAGCTCGAGGTAGCATTAGGGGCTTTAACCCATACGTCACAGGGCGACAATTCGAAGGAAGTCGACGGCATGCCTTGAAATTTGGCAAACTCAAAGCGGCGGTGTCGCTACACACGCACGTTCACTTCCTTGTGGCCCAAATGCAGGTTATGCAGTGAGGAAAGTTTTCGGTGCCGTTGCACCCATCGCTCAAGGAGCGCTTCGTCATCTATAGTGCTTTCGCTAGGGGCGAGCACTACAAGTATTGTCCGCATTGCGGGTACACGAGAGCCGCCTCGTTGAGCACTTAGACGAGTGCGATAATCGTTTTTCTTGTGGGACCAAGAGACGAGCTCGAAGAGCTTTCCTTGTGGCAGGTTCATCATCCGTTCTGGCCAAGGGCCCGATGATGTGGACGCGTAATGATCGAGTTACCGCGTCCTTCGCTTCCAAAGCGGAATCCGCAGGGCGGAATCCGTATTCCACACGTGGGTCAATGACCAACCGTGGACAGGCGCGCTTCAGAGCCGAACAGAGGCGGTAGATT